TTAGGTTAGACAACCAGAGTGGCCAAGACAGTACCCAGTACGCCCCACTTGTTTACCTGCTTCACTCTTCTTCCAAACTCAGATGACCAACTCTCTTATAACTCAACTCTAACCCACTTCACTCAATCCCATCCCAACCCAACAGTCATTCTCACTCCTCCGCTCTCCTTATCCTCCTGGCATCCTGGTCCAGTCTACCCATAAAATATCTTTCATGCCACAAGAAGTTCTCTCGGTGCTATATCAGCCTCCCAAAAATACTATCTCCTGCTGTTTTCATCAAAGCTCTTAGAATGAACAATTTACTTGGGGTAACTGTCAATTATCTTCGTCTCAGGCCAACATCACAGCCTCAGGAATATTCATTTCTTTCATCATCTTTCATATACTTGCCTTTTCTCTTGGGTTCCAAGAGGCCCCAAGGAGTGGAGATCACCTGCTTCTGGCCATAAGTACCTGCAGTTATATCTATGGGAGAAGGTACGGCAATAAACTAAGATGGAGAAAAAGTAAGGGAGGAAAGTAGATAACTAAGTTAAATAAACATTTTTCAAGTTACGCACTTTGAGATGAATACGGTGCTGGTTAACAATGCCTAACATACCCTCCCCTACCTGTTCATTAGAAAACCTACAACAGAAATATAGCTAAGTCCTCTGAGGAATGGCAGAGTAATAGAAGTCTCCAAATATGTCATTTTTTCATCTCTAAAGAAGAGTAGTGAGTATTGAGAATACATTCTAGAAAAACGTCTTTCACCCCTCCAAAAAGCAAAGAAAACATCACAGCAGTATCCTGAGGCTCTGAAAAGTGAATGTGTTTTGGTTTTAAATAAAAGATAATTTTTTCTAGTATGATATAGCTGGAAGAATATTTCGTTTGCCAAACCCGTCTCCCTAAAGACAGGTAAAAATATATTCCGCATGTACACACATTCATATATATGAATACCTGTATTTGCATGTATATGTGCAAAATGCTCCTAGAATGATACAAAAGAAACGGGCAACCCTGGCTGCCTCTGAGATGGAAAACCAATAATGGTCAAATGCCTATCCCTCTGGCTGAGTTTCACACATAAACAAGCTGACGAGCAATGGACCTTTTTCTTTTTAAGAACGAAAAAAAGGGAAACATCACATGTACAAGAAAATATCAGAAAACACTTGGGTTTCACGTTCTCAATGGGGAATAAAAGCACAGACGAATTGGGACAAAGGAGAAAACGAAGGCAAAAGTTAGGGTGAAGAGTAACGCTCCCACGCAGAGAACACTGACCATCTGGGAAATGGCCATAGAGTTGACGGAGAACGGCAGTGAGCTGCTGTGGCTGAAGACATAGGTGAGGGCCAGACAGCAACATGGATGACATGTTAAGAGCCATGGGCAGAGAGGGATGGGCTTCAGTCAAGTCAGCAGGATGATCAGATTTGTGTTTTGTGTCTTTAAGATTGTTTTCATGTGAAATGAGAATAATAAATTGGAAGAATGCAAGAGTGGAAGCAAGAAGAAAGAGAGGGGCTGATATAATACAATCAGTGAACAGGAAAATGGCCTGAACGAAGAAGTAGAGAGGGATGGATAGACACTAGCTCTTTGGAAAGTGGTACGGTCAGGACTTGGAGACTGAATAGGCATAAGGAGAGAAAGAGAGAAGTCAAAAACAATGACCAGCATTATGGCCTGTGCTGATGGGTGGGTGGAGCTAAGAGTGGAAAAGTGAAAGCTGGTTTTGTGGGAAAAAAAAAATGTCAGTTGCAAGTGACAGTGGAACATTAGAGTGAAGATGTCTGGCAGATGGGGCAATGTGGTCATCAGCATCCACAGAGCTAAGAGTAAGTAGAGTGAAAAGTGGGCCCAGAGGTCTCCAACATAATAAGGGGCAGGCAGAGAAAGGAAGATTGAAAAAGATGAGGAAAGAGCAGCCACAGAAACAGGAGGAAAACCAGGAAAGCAGGCATGATGGACATCAAATAATGAGAGCATTTTGAGAAGGTGGTCAGTGTCCACAGCTGCCAAGGAGACAAAAAAGACAAGGACTTAACATAAAGTTTCTCACACCCCGGGCAAAAACAGAGGCAGTGGAGAAGAGTGGGAGTAAAGGGTGCAAGTCTAAATATTTTGCCAGCAAAATTACAAATGACTATACCATCTAGATCAGGCGTCCCCAAACTTTTTACACAGGGGGCCAGTTCACTGTCCCTCAGACCGTTGGAGGGCCGCCACATAGTATGCTCCTCTCACTGACCACCAATGGAAGAGAGGCCCCTTCCTGAAGTGCGGCGGGGGGGGCGGATAAATGGCCTCAGAGGGCCACATGCGGCCCGCGGGCCATAGTTTGGGGACGCCTGATCTAGATGTTGAGGATAATTTGTGAAAAGCAAACCACAAAACAACCTCTAAACGTGATAACAGATGAAGCAGAAAATAAGTCTTATAATTTCTTTACAAAGCACTATCAACCATCCATCACCATAGGATATGCTTAGTGCCTGAAATTCTGAAGGAAAAAATATACAACACCTGAACAAAAGTGAAATCCCTAAAATAGTAAGCAAAAAGATGTATCATTCCAATGTTTAGGCACTGGATTGGCATAGGCACGTCTAAAATGCCAACACCATGCTGGGAGTCCCTAAAGGCTTCCCCTAGGACTCAGAGGACATGTCCCCTTGTAACAGGCAGGAAGAACTTGAATACAAGGCCAGAGAACTAGCTAGAAGAGAAAGAAGGTTGCCATTGGCACATTAACATGGCAACATGAGGGGAATTAGTAACCCCAGCCTAGGCCTAGCACCATGCCCAGTAAACATTAATCCCCTATCACCAAGAACCTTCACTTCAAATCCCTTCATCTACATGACTAATCCAGGTTGGCATTTTGCTTTCTGGAACATGGCGTTCAGCCAAACCAAGTTAACAGGCATAAGAAGGAAACCTAAGAACAGAAGAAAGAACAACCCATCAGCCATGAAAACCACAAACACATTAAGAGAATTGGACTACTGCTGATTGTTACAATGAGCTGTTAAATCCATTCAAAGTCATTTGTATTACAGAAAAGAGAAAGATCTCAACACATTGCACTGTGTTGAGAATACAAAATAGGTGGTACTTAATAGGTGTTCACTAAGCATCAGTTGAGTGAAGGGCTCAAGAAGCATGTTTGTCAGCAGAAAAGGGAACCTGGGGATTAGAAGAGAAGTCACAGGATGCCAATCCAAATGAGCACCCATGACCATGCCATCCAGGGGGCTAGGTAGAAAGGGTCTGGTGAGCCTAGTCACACCACTGTAAATCTCAGTATGCACTGCTAGTTTAGGATGACTATCATCCTAACCATTCAGGATCTGGCCTCTGCAGACCCAGGACATAATCTGTAGGAACCTGCACAGCCATGTTTTGGAGAGCTTAGGGATAAATCCCAGTCCTATTGATACCTTTTCTAACATAAACCTCACTCCACAGTGGGTGTGATTCTCATGTTTAAAGGCACATATTTTTGTACTGCAGGATCTCTAAACACAGCCAACTACTACATCTGGAGCTCAGCTGAAGAAACAATTGTCTTTTCCAACTTGGGGATAAAACTGAGCTGTACTGGCCCTGGGAGCAAAGGCACATTGGTTCTCCAATGTGGTACCAATAAGGGATTTTTTTGAGAATTTTTTTTACTACACCCAATGTTTCTTTATGTAGCAACTCTAGAACCTAGCCTTCTTGTAATACGGGTCTCTAATGTAGTGCAAAGTAATGAAAACAGCAGGTTTTGACACTGGACAGGCTTAGACTCAAATTCTCCCTTTGTCATTGACTAGCTATGAATGAAACCTTAGACCAGCCATTTGACCTCTCTCAGCCACAGTCAACTCACTTATACTATTAGAAGCAGCAATAATGAGATCTTATGGTTGTAGGAAGCATTAAATATAAATAAATAGCCTGTGGCTAAATTAATATCTTTAAGAAATTATTTGTACACAGAGTGCCACCTTAGAAGATCAAGTTCTGCACCACGTCTAACACAGTGCCCCATCCCCAGAAGGTATTTCATGAACATCAGGACCTTAAGACTTTGTTTATTCCATTCTAAACTAGCAGCCCACTTCTTTACGGGAGTGTCTGACACCACCCTTGTGAGTAGAAGTGCCTGTGCAAAAATGTTCCTTCTGCTCAAGTTAGACAATTGAAATGTTATACAAACCGCCCCACTTCCTCTTTACTGTCAAATAGTAAATGCATGCACATGCATGCACACACACACACACACACACACACACACACACACACTTCTTTGAGAATATAACTTCCCCAGCACAGGACCCAGAGACACTACACAAGGCAACAGCTGCAGACAGAGAACAAAGTAAGAGCTCTTTATCCAAAGGAAAACACTGGAGAAAGGGAAGCTGAAAATAGTAAGCTGTGGTATAGCCAGAACAAACTGAGATATCATCTGTGCTTTTGCCATAATATTTCTTTGGTATTTATTACAAAAGGAAACAGTAGCTACTGCCACTTATACAATAACTGTTCTCCAAACAGCATTGGTCTAGGCACTGAAAGAGAATACAGAACTACCTCTGCCTTCCAAAAGTTTACCATGTAATTAGAGAAACAAAACAAATGGAAAACAGTTAACTATGCATTAATTGAGTAATAATAAAGAATAAGGCAGAGACAAGACAGGCTGCTTTAGAAAAAGTGAAGCTCTCCTGAAGCCGGTGGCTAATGATTTGATAGGTGAAGGCAGACGGATATACTAAAGACCAAGAAGCAGCCTAGTTTATTCTAGAGACACTGAGAAGGGGTAGAAACATACACAGTAGAAAAGATTTAGGAATTTATACCGGCAACAAACAAGACATGCAATATTTGCATGAGGGAGCAGTTTTAGATCTTCCTTGCAAGGAAAAGGAGGGGCCATCAAAAAGCCATGTCCCCAAAGTCCAAAGCTTGCCTCCACTGTCCCAATGGCATAACCCTACATCATCACTTACCCGGATAAGGGAAGTCTGATGCCGAAGGGGCTTGGTTCCTGGGCCCCCTGAGGAGGATCCCTCGGGCTGGACAAGAGGCTGCCTAGCTTCATAAGGAGCTGAAACAGCAGAAAGGAAAGTTAGCATGGTATGCAAAGATTCCATCCAAAAATGATGACTTCACATTCAAACTGATACAGCCTCTGCTTTTCAAGAAAGAATTGGCAACAGACTCACGAGTATACACTCATAGGGTCACCTAAGACTGACAACCCCTGATTCTCTTTGGCACAATTGCACTAAACAATCTAAAGACATTCAACCAATTCATGATAGGCAGAAAAATATTTACACTGAGTTAAGATTAGGAATAAATTGTGAAGGCGGAATAGTGAGAACTTAAATTGGGATAGAAAGCAACAATAGCTAGAAAAGTGTCATAAGTGTTCAAATTCCAAATATGAGGTAAATTCTATATATACCCCCATGTAAATGTCTTCCACTGATCGTCCACTTCCCCAAAAAGAAAACTAATGTGCATTTTGAACACTAAAAACCAACATTATTTTTGAAAAATAAATCAGACAGAATGTAAAATCATACAGAGAAAAATACAAAAGTGAATATATTTTATATTTATTATTCTACTATTCACTAATCAAACTTTTTTAAAAAAAATTTTTGCTGCCTTTAAAAAAAATGTTTTAAGGCCGGGCACGTTGGTTCAAGCCTGTAATCCCAGCACTTTGGGAGGCCGAGGCGGGTGGATCACGAGGTCAAAAGATCGAGACCATTCTGGTCAACATGGTGAAACCCCGTCTCTACTAAAAAAAATACAAAAAATTAGCTGGGCATGGTGGCGTGTGCCTGTAATCCCAGCTACTCCGGTGGCTGAGGCAGGAGAATTGCCCAGGAGGCAGAGGTTGCAGTGAGCCGAGATCGCACCATTGCACTCCAGCCTGAGTAACAAGAGCGAAACTCCGTCTCAAAAAAAAAAAAAAAAAAAAAAGTTTTAAGCCACAAAAATGAATGTATGTTTTCACTCCTTTTATTTCTGGAAGACTTAATAATGATCTTGCCAATATGGCAGTTAAACATAACCAGGTAGTATGCAGCTCCAACAGAAAGCAGAAATTATTACCCAAGTTGAAACTGTTTCTCATCTCTATAGGTTAATAGTTCGAGTTTTTTAAAATATATAAATAAGTAAAATTTTTTCTTTCTGTAGCTTACTTACAAATAAAATCAGGTAGAGAGCAGAGCAGCCTGTTATGACCTAACGTTTAGCATAGTTTTCTCTTTTTAAAATAAAGAAGGTACAACAATAGCACATTGAGAATGATAAATCACTCTCGGGCACACGTCTGCTTTTTATATTTCTTCCTAGTAACTGGAACACAACATTATAATACATTAACACACATTAAAATAGCAAAACAATTGCCTGGTAACCCATTAAGTGGATTTTCAGAAATTGCTAAGAATGAATACAAATATAAAAACTGCAAAACAAACATACATAGCACATAATCCAAATCTTAAAAAGTAAGTCTCAGTTTGTAGGCAGCCATTGTGTTCTGGGAAATAGGATTTTAAAAAATCATTCCATGCTGATGAAACACTGAATTAAACCATTAATTACCAATTGTGCTCTGCCAAAAGGCTTGAAATAAAGTAAACTGTAGCATGGTTGGGGTGCCGGTGGTCATGAGTTTTCCCTAGGAAGCAAATCTCATGTGCCTCTGTTTCCCATAAAAGCTTCTACTTCTACTTCCAGGGGAGACACATGGGGGAACAGGCCACCATCTGGCCTTTGCCTTCTATCTCTCACCTACAAGGGCCTTCCCTTGGAAAAGACAAACCTATCTCATCAGTAAGGTTCAGATGAAGACTCAGCTGCATGGGGGACCATTTTTGGAGAGGCAGATTGTCTCTTCCTACTTTTGTGGGAAACCTGGGATGGCCAAGCCTGCCTGTGACTGGAAAGGTGAGTGTTTAAAGCCCATCTGGTCACAAATCTAAGACATATGCTCTCATCAGCTATATCAATAATAAAGCTGATATTCAGGCTGTCATCAGTCTGACTTCTGGCTCCTTCCTCAATGGGATCTGAATTCAGGAAGTTAAAAAGTAGCTATTACTCAACTCTCTCTCTTCCCAAATCAACCCCAAACATGCAATACAATGCAAAACAAATAATTCTTTGATCCCCTTACAAGAGGTTTAATAACAACTGGAAGTACCACCTTTCTCCAAGGGGAGGTGTACCAAAAAAAAAAAAAAACTTAAAGATTTCATCACTCTAAAGTTCATTGTCAAACCAGAACTCTTCGGCAGTTTCATATACAACTACCCTAAAACTGAGTGACTCTATTCCTAGGAGCCAGGGAAATGACAGCATATGTCACAAAAGAACTTGTACACGAATGTTCATAGAATCCTTATTCATAACAGCCAAACACTGGAAACAACTCAAATGAATATATTGTCAAATTGTGGTGCATTCACACAATAGATTCCACTACTAAATAATAAAAAGGAATGAACTACTGATACAATAATATGGATAAATTTCAACCATTATGCTGAAGGAAAGATGGCAAACACATGTGAGTACAGTCAGTCATTCCGTGTGTTTTCATTTGTATGAAGTTCTAGAAGAAGCAAAACTAATTACAGTGATGAAAATCAGAACAGTGCTTACATTAGGGGGCAGGGCGTGACCGGAGAGGGTATCTCTGGCATAACGGATATGTTCAATTATTGATCAAAGTGGTAGCTACACAGTCCTATCCATTTGCTAAAACTCAAATTGAAGATCTAAAACATGTGCACGGCTGGGCATTGTGGCTCACATCTGTTCTCCCAGTACTGTGGGAGAACAAGGCAAGCGGATCACTTGAGTCCAGAGGTTCAAGACCAGCCTGGGCAACATGGCGAAACCCCATCTCTACCAAAAGATACAAAAAAAATTAACCCAGTATGGTGGCACATGTCTGTAATCCCAGCAACTCAGGAGGCTGAGGTGGGAGTATCACCTAAACCTAGGAGATCAAGGCTACAGTGAGCCATGATCACGTCACTGCACTCCAGCCTGAGAAAGTGAGACCCTGTCTCAAAAATAAATAAATTAAACGTGTACATTTTATCATATGTATATCTTGCCTCACTTTTTTTAAAATATGAAAAGAAATGAAGGCATAGACAGCTTTGGCGCAGGCTGCTGAGAGTCAAGAAAGATGGAGAGAAGCAAGCTGCTTCGTTACCACTGGGGGAATGGAAGCCCAATTTGTATGGAATGAGGAGAGAATGGGGCATGAAGTAGGTGAAACAGAAAAGTTTTCTAAGGAATACCAAAGGTAGAACTTGCTGACAGGCTGACTCAGTAAACAAAAACAGTTTGACCTGTGAATTAAAAACCAACTTCCAAACCCAAGTAAGATTAGAAATAGAAAAATAGCCACTCCCGAAAATAGGGAAATCAGACAGGGGAAACTACAAGAGGAAAATGAAAAATTCTCAACCCCATTAAGTTTCTGACCCCACTGAGACATTCAGGTTACAAGGACAGTGATTTTTGTTGTTGTTGTTACTATCCATTAGCAACATCATCTTGCACGTGCATAGTACTTAATTTCCAAACCGATTTTATACTCACGTTCTAACTTAATCCTCTAACACCCCTCTAGGATACTGTTACTCCATTTTAAGACAGAAAAGGTAATCATGGTTCAGAGATGTTCAAAGGCCTGCCCGAAGTCCAACAGCTAGTCACAGAAACCCACACCTTCTGCTTCCAATCAAAAGTTACTGCCATTATGCCACGTCTGCTTCTCTCTGCAAGATTACAGCCTCTCTTCATTCAGCCTAGCACGCAGTTTTATTTCTGTGTCCCTGTAAAAGTCACCACTATTTTTAATGCAGTAAAAATCTGCAGAAACTGGGTCATTTGGGGCCACAGCCCACAAAATAAAAAAGGAGGGCTGCAGATATCCAATTCTAGAATACCTTTAATTGGTCATATCTTAAACTAGGAGTCTGAACCCCAGGAGGACAAGATGCTGTAGTGAATTTCCAGTGCTTTAGGCACTGCAGCCTGAGCAGCCAACTCTGCAAGTCATCCTCAGAACTAATGTATTTTACCACCTAACGAGACCAGCAGAACATAAATGTGAGCAAGAAGACAACCCCACAACTGTGCATGCAACATACTCCTCAGCAAAATGCTACCTCAGCATTTCCTTTAGCCTTATTCCAAAGCATAAAACCTAAATATTTTCATTTATGTGCTCAGTCTTCAAAGGTTGGATCAACTCTTTTGCTTTTTTGGTTATATTTCTTAAGAAATTTCATTAAAGCAGTTACTATATAAATATGCTTGGTGTGTTTGCAGAAAGGAATAACAATTCCAAAAAAATACACACCCTTAACATGGTATGTTCTGTTCAATAAAATCCATTTATGAAAGATTAAATCATCTAGTTGTTAGAAAGTCTAAAGACGAACTAGTTTCTAGGACAGGAAACAAAACATTACTCAGATATGTTTAAATCCATTAAAAAAAAAAAAAAAAAAACCTTGCTTGAGAATATAAAATTAAATTGAGCCATGTTTCCAAAGACAGGGGTAATTAAATCAGGAAATTAAACAGCTTGAAGCACTGCTGCCTGGTAAATTAAGGAGTCTCTAAGACGCTGCCTGGGACAGCTGGCCCCCAGGTCGCCTCTTACCTGGATGCATCTGTTCTGCGCTGCTCCGCAGTTTGCTGTAGCCATGGCTCAAGGGCACCCTCTGGTAATGAGGCGGGGAAGAAGGAGGGGAGGCGAGGGGTGACATCGTGGGAGACTGTGTTTCCTGCTTCAAAGAACCAGATCAGAGTTCAGAGGCAATCACTCAAGCCTGGCGTTCTGAGCCGCAGTCAGGAAGCATAACGCAGCTCTACCGCTGGTGACCCAGCTGATTTAACAAATGGGGGGAAATGTTTCTCAAAAAATGCAGTGTGGTTAAACAGCAGTGTCTGAGGATTCAAAAAGTCTCCCAGAGAATAACATGTCATCAGTGCTGAGTTACCTAAATTACTGAAACCAGCCTGAAACATTTTTGGTTATTCCAGTATTTTCCTTTGGAAAATGAAAGACACTGATCACATGAAATAACATTCATACCCCCTCCCAACTGTGATCTCTCTGTGGATAGATTTCATTTTCTTTCATTAATAAATTTATTTCCTGGATTTATACTTATCAAGTCTACCAGCAAATGTGAATATTAAAATATATTTTTAAATGCTTAATATTCTTGGAGTTTACTATGTCGAAGTAAAATGCTAGTTTTTTTTGACAATGAGAGATTGCAAAACAATTCATTATAGGTAAACCATTCCAACCAGCTTACTCCCAAATACTAAGGTGAAATCTTAACAAGCTACAATATGAATCTCAATTCAAATATGAACCTGATGTAGAACCCTAGGCAAAGTAAGCAACCTTATCTGCTGCTGGGTTTCCTCTTTAAAAAAAAAAAAACTTTACTAGTAGACTGGTAAATTTGGAGTACTCAAGTAACAAGAAAACAGTGGGGTTTTTTTGGGTTTTTGTTTTTGGATTTTTTTTTTTTTTTTTTTTTTTTTTGAGACAGGGTCTCACTCTGCTACCCAGTCTGAGGCACAGTGGCATGATCACAGCTCACTGCAGCCTTGACTTCCTGGGCTCAAGCGATCCTACCACCTCAGCCTACCTGCGCCACCATGCACAGCTAATTTTTTTTTTTTTTTTTTTTTTTTTTTTTTTTGGAGAAGTGAGATCTTGCTATGTTGCCCAGGCTGGTCTTGAATTCCTGGGCTCAAGCGATCCTCCTGCTTCGGCCTCCTAAAATGCTGGGATAACAGGCATGAGCCACTGCCCCTGGCCAAAACAATGCTTTTTATCAACATACAGACTATATATATATAGGCTCCCTTAGTCTTAAAAGAAATACGATCAAATACTCTTCCCTTTTTTTTTCTTTTTTTGCTGGGCACGGTGGCTCACGTCTGTAATCCCAGCACTTTAGGAGGCCGAGGCAGGTGGATCATGAGGTCAAGAGATCAAGATCATCCTGGCCAACATGGTGAAACCCCATCTCTGTTAAAACAAAATACAAAAATTAGCTGGGTGTGGTGGCATGTGCCTATAGTCGCAGCTACTTGGGAGGCTGAGGCAGGAGAATCACTTGAACTCGGGAGGCGGAGGCTGCAGTGAGCTGAGATCATGCCACCGCACTCCAGCCTGGCAACAGAGTAAGAATCCATCTCAAAAAAAAAATACTCTTCTTCAAGAAAAAGAAAAATATATTTGCTCTAAAGCATGAGCTCACACCCATAGATTGGGTGGGGCATGCATAAACTCAGCCTGAAGTGAAAGGATTTATTCTCATTCACACAGCCAGGGACTGGGCCTGGAAATTTCCCAGGGCATCAACCACCATGGGACAGTGGACCCTCATTCCTCTCCAAATGCTGGTGGGAAATCATGCCAAAGAATATTGACTGAAAATTCCTACACCTCCTCCTTTTTAAATATATCCCTGAAGAACCAGTTTAAAATGTGTCAGAATTATGAAAGTGACAGTATATGGAATTGTTTAACAAGATGTGCTACACCTCCCTTAACTATCCATATAAAACTTCTGCAGCAACACTTCATCTACACAACATCACAGGGGTAAGTCACAGAAGTTAGTTTTCCAACATAATTGGTTAACATTCATTGCATTTTAAAAACATTTTCATTTGAGTTTTCTTTTTTTTTTCTTAAGACACACTCTCGCTCCGTAGACCAGGCTGGAGTGCAGTGAAATGATCTCAGCTCACTGCAACCTCCACCTCCCAGGTTCAAGCTATTCTCCTGCCTCAGCCTCCCAAGTAGCTGGGACTACAGGTGCACACCACCACACCCAGGTAATTTTTGTATTTTTAGTAGAGATGGAGTTTCACAATATTGGCCAGGCTGGTCTCAAACTCCTGACCTCTGGTAATCTGCCTGCCTTGGCCTCCCAAAGTGCTGGGATTACAGGTATGAGCCACCATGCCCAGTCTCAAGTGTTCCTATGATATAATAAATTTCTTTACCTTGTAGAAGATACTAGGTTGAACATAATCTGACTTCTATGCATGATTCAGTATCTTTGTTGGAAGTATGAACTGTATCTTGATGTCTGCAGGTACACTAATGTGTAGACGATTTATTTCTTCCTGATAGGCCCACTCTTCTGAGATTTTATACTTTTGTGTCCACCAATCATCATCTGACTATTGCAATTAGTGGTCTAATTTTAAAAGTCTATCCTCCCTATAATGGTTCCAAACCTCCTAAATGGGTAATGGCAGCATTTCCGAAGGTGATATTCCAAATATGTTCCCCAAGAAAGAATTTCCTAGTGAAAGAAGTTTAGTAAACACAGATTTCCAGGTCTCTTTACTGCAGAACTTCTCAGGCCCTTCACTGTGCTAATGTGCACTATGAATTTCCAAGATTAGGGATTTAGTCTTTCCCTCAGGAAGAGGATATGAAGCAGCATTCTCCAAACACATTTATTATAATAGGAAAAACCTTTTCTACAGACTTCTTTTTGGAGAAAAGAACCTACTAAAAACTCCTGGAAGATACATTTCCAAGAATCCATTTAGAAAACTTCTAACCTAGGGAAATCAATAGATGTATTAAATCAGTAGCCTTATTTTAGACACAATTCTACTTTAAAGTAGGCTTTAAAGGGGCCTTGAGTGGCTGGTGGTGATTCATATGCGTCAGCCTCTCTTTCTTGCTAAGAGAAAACTTTACTGGCTCCCTTCCAAGTCTGTAATTGGGTTCCAGATGGTAAGATTTGCTGGAAGCTGAACAGTAGATACAAGGCCCTGCTACATGAGGTTTCACAGTCGGAAGCAAATGAACATGTCTGATCAAACTGTTTACCTGTTTATCCTCATCGTCCATTCTTTTGAAGGAATTTTTTTCCGTGGTTATATATGGAATCTGAACCTTAGTTCCATGCAGCTCAGCTGGGTTCCCAAATCGTATCTCACCATCATTCTTTGACATCATAAAGCGAGGCAGAGGCAATTCTTTAGGACCAGAAATCAGAGAAGCTCCAGTCAGACTTTATTTAAAAACTGCAAAAATGGAGAACTCAATGGCCAAAAGACGAATCATTTTTGAGGAAAAATTCCAGAGCACTAAATATAGATTAAATTTAGATTTCGATACAATGAGTACTCCTATAATAATGTCATGATTTTTTAAATGCTATGGTTTAACCAGAGTATTCTGGCTTAATATTTTTCAATGTTGCCAAATCGCAGAATAAATTCAGATTTGGGACTGATCTCCCACTTCATCCTTCAGTCCAATAACCAAAAAAAAGGATATGACATTGTATAATACAATAAGTGACAAATGGTGGCAGGTAAAATTCATATAGAGCTTAAATATGCCAGGCACAGTATTAAAGATCTGCAAACATTAACTCATTTCCTCCCCACAACAACTGTGTATGATAAAACTATCATTACCCCCACCCCATTACAAAAGTGGAAACAGACATAAAGGAGCTAAGTAATGTCCCCAAGATCACACAACTCATCTGTGACAGAGGCAAGGTTTGAACACAGGCAAGCTGGTTCTTAACTAGTGCTCTACAGAAAGGTCCCTTGTTCCTAAGGCAAACTTACTGGGTAAAACAGTTTCTCATCCTATATAATTCTTTCAGAAATTTTCACATCCAATCTCTGGTTGTCTTTTCATAATGGAATAAGAAAAACAGTATCAAGTCAGAGCAATCAATCCATCATTCAGCCAGGTTCTACTGTCAAAACCATTATCCACTCATAATGTTACAAAGAGTTGAAATGCAGTGGTCTGGTATATTTACTTATCTTTCAAAATTCTAACAAAACTATTCTGGAAGTGGAAATGATACTTTGGCACACGTCTAGTTCTCAGTACATCATGTTACATACAATTGCGTAGCACAAAACCCTACAAAAATGGGGACAATATTATGGATTATGCATAATGACTTGCATCTGTATCCATTGTTCAGGATAATATTCATCAGTGTGCCTTTGCACTTCCACTAGCTCTGTATTCCAAAAACACAGCTGCACTTTCAATGATTGATGCTGTGCTAAGGCCAGAAAATATCTTAGCAACGGCAAGCAAGTATCCTAGAGCTCCCCAGGCAAAGAAGGCCCCTGGTTCTCCAATATCCACATGATGTTTATTTTTAGTTGCTATGTCCACATTTGATTCAAAGAAGCAGGTGGCCAGGAACAGTGGCTCATGCCTGTGATCCCAGCACTTTGGGAGGTGAAGGCGGGTGGATCTCCTGAGGTGAAGAGTTCGAGACAAGCCTGGCCAACATGGTAAAACCCCATCTCTACTAAAAAAATCAAAAATTAGCCAGGCATGGTGATAGGCGCCTGTGATCCCAGCTACTCGGGAGGCTGAAGCAGGAGAATTTCTTGAAACTGGGTGGCAGAGGTTGCACTGAGCTAAGATCACGCCACTGCACTCCAGGCTGGGCAACAACAGCAAAATTCTGTCCCATGGAAAAAAAAAAAAAAAAAAAAGAAGCATGCAATATGACAAATCCCTGTGTAATCAATCAGCCAAGGGCCCAAGAGACGTAAATAGAGTAACCAATCTCAATGTTTCCCAACCTCAGGCAGCTCTCCAGCACTCAAAGCAGGAATGGGCTTCAAAAGCAAAAACGCAAGTGAAAAGAAACTCTAGAATCTTAGTAAGCCAAATATAAGCTAATCCTATGGTTTTGGTCTCAGGTAAATGCTCCAGCTCAGTCTGCAAAAAGGATCTAAAAAGATGAAACAAGATCACATAAAATAATTTGCACCCTGATCTGCCCATAAGAAGATGACTCTACTTCCAAGTACTTATTGAGGGAGAAAAGAAAGAAATGCTCGGTATTTACTGGCATTCAACAGATAACTCCAAGGAACAATGGAATACACTCATGGAATTATGAATATCAATTATTATACTAGAACTTAAATAGGGCTCCCAGATATTGTCTAGGACACTGTCACTTCACACATTCTTCCACCCTGTCTATGGATATTCTTTAGAACTATTTGCCTAGAAAACCACCTCTCCCCCACCCCAGACACCCACCAAACAGCAAAAGACAAAATACGGTTGAATTTCTCTCATACTTTCTTTGGTCATGTGGTTTTAAACGACTCTCACTTAACAGAATTCTAACCATACATAATAATATTCTTATCATTGAAAACTCATGAAGGTGCCATTTCCCTTAACCTGATCCAAGCTTTTAAAAAGTGAAAGGTAAAAGTAGTTTGCAAATGTTCATTCTGAATTTTTTTTGGTTTTGGGGTTTTGTTTTTGGAGGCAGGGTCTCACTGTCTCCCAGACTGAAGTGCAGTGGCACTAACGTAGCTCACTGCAGCCTTGAACTCCCAGACCCAACTTATCCTCCTGCCACAGACTCCTGAGTAGCTGGGACTACAGGTGCTTGCGACCATACCGGCTAATTTCTTTTTCTTATTTTTTGTAGAGTTGGGGTCTTGCTATATGCTCAGACAGATCTCAAATTCCTGAGCTCAAACAATCCTCCCACCTTGACTTCCTAAAGTGCTGGGATTACAGGCATGAGCCACCATACTCAGCTGAATATTTTTCCTAGTCACATGTGTAGAAAATTTGATAGTAAAACTTTGAAAAAAGTAATCAATAAAGTATCTGCCGTACAATAATGTCTGTCAAGAAAAAGGTCTATTTGTAGTCACTGGTTAGAATCTTATCTCCCAAACTGAATTGAATTAATACACAGGAAACAAAGTCAGAGTTCAAACTAAACGTTTAGAGGGTCTGAGGAGACAATGAGAGTGGCCATCCAAGATGACAATTTGTTTCATAATGGTACCCTAGGTTACAATCTTTGAACATAGAAATGCTTTGTATATTAAATATAAATGACTATTTTTTCCTTCCACAAAGAAAACTATGCCTGCTCCTTTTTAAACACTTGACCCTCTACAAAAAAGAAAAATCCTTTGTTTTTCCATATTTGATAGAGATACAGATATATTAGAAATATTTCAGGCTAGGAGTGGTGGCTCATGCCTGTAATCCCAGCACTTTGGGAGTCTGAGGTGGGAGAATCACTTGAGCCCAGCAGTTTGAGGTCAGTCTGAACAATACCATAAGACCCCATCTGTACAAAAAAAAATTAATAAAAAAATCAGCTGTGCATGGTGGCATATGCCTGTAGTCCCAGTTACTTAGGAGGCTGAGGCAGAATGATCGGTTGAGCCCAAGAGTTCAAGGCTGCATCATGCCACTGCACTCCAGCCTGGGTGACCGAGTGAGATCCTGTCTATCAAAAAAGAAAAGAAAAAAAAGAAATACCTCAATTTCCTCAATCCATTAAAAAATGTAACAGCATAAATGCAATAATAAATAGCAAGTAACATTGAGCCTCATTAGCTAGATAATATGGAGTGGAGGGTGCTGGGCAGAGAGCCCATGTTCCATCAAAATGGCAGTTGCTGTTCACTCTCCTTCAATGTTATCTGCCAGAAAAAGAATGTGAGCTACATATATACTTGTGAGTTTTATAGTAGTCATATTTAAAAGGTATTTTTTTTAAAAAAAAGTGAAATAAGTTGGTCACAAAAAGACAAGTACTGTGTGGTTTCACTTATATCAAGAGTAGTCAAACTCATAGAAGCAGAAAGCAGATGGGTAGGCCAGGTGCAACGGCTCACGCTTGTAATCCCAGCACTTCGGGAGGCTGAGGTGGACAGATCACTTGAGGTCAGGAGTTCATGACCAGCCTAGCCAACATAGCAAAGCCCCATCTCTACTAAAAATACAAAAATTAGCTGGGTATGGTGGTGCATGCACCTGTAATCCCAGCTACTTGGGAGGCTGAGGCATGAGAATCTCTTGAGCCTGGGAGGCAGAGGGAGCAGTGAGCCATGATCATGTCACTGTACTCTCTCTCTCAAAAATGGGAAGGTGTTTCATGAGTACAGAATTTCCATTTTGTAAGGTGAGATGAAAAGGTTTTAGAAATTAGTTATATAACAATGTGACTATATTTAACATTACTGAATTATACATTTAAAATGGTTAAGATGGGAAGTTTATTTGCATTTTATCACAATTAAAAATTTTTAATTTCAAAACATTTTTAATGGTGAAATTGTAATAATCTATTTTAACTCAATATTATTTCAACATGTAATCAACAAAGTATTAATGAAATATTTTACATTATTTTTTCATATTGTCTTCAAACTCCTGTGTATATTTTATCCTCCTTGCATGCCTCAATTCATACTTACCACATTTTATATGCTCAACAGCTACTAGCTACCATACTGAAACAGCACAGCTCTAGTTGATAGCTGCTACATGGGAATGTTCGCCATTGTGGCCAGAAATCTGTATTTTACTAAGGAATATTATAATGCTAAATGTAAACAACTGATTGATTTCTTTTTTAATTATGCAAAAAGTACTTTGTATGGAGGGATGATTTATAGGGAACTGTATGTGTTCCACTTGAAGAATTTTGACAAATACATATATATGTATGTATGTGTGTGTGTATATATATATATGTATGTATGTATGTGTATATATATATATCCATCCCTGTAACCAATACCCAAATTAAGATACAGAATTTTCTTTCATGTTTCTTTCCAGTAATCTCCTCCCTTTGTTCCACCCAGCAACCTCTGTACTTTCTATACTTGCAGATTATCTTTGCCATTATGAAACTTCATAAACTGAATCATACAATATCTGTTCTTGTGACTAGCTTCTTTTATCACAGACAACCTTTTTGTCTGTGATAATCACTCAATGCATTGTACACATAGTTCATTCTTTCTTTCTTTCTTTTTTGAGATGGAGTCTCACTCTGTCGCCAGGCTGGAACGCAGTGGTGTGATCTCGGCTCACTGCAACCTCCGACTCCCTGATTCAAGCTATTCTCCTGCCTCAGCCTCCTGAGTACCTGGGATTACAGGCACGCACCACCACGTCCAGCTAATTTTTGTATTTTTAGTAGAGA